GAATTAGAAGATTATTAGAAAATTGGTAACATGAAGTCTGAGGGAGGATTATGGGAATAGATTTCTATAAATTAATACAGAATGGAAGGCATTTATGTCCTACCTAAATACAGTCTGGCAGGAGACTTGTGAGAGAAGAGTCCTAAAAATAAGGGACATAAAATGTTTCAGTCTGATAGCTATCAAATTCTTCCAATTATCTTCTGCTTCCATAATAGCTCTGGAGTACAGTAAGCAACCAACAGGAATGTAGATCATCATACAAAACTCAGTTCACCAAACCTTGTCTGCCAGCCTATAACTACTGGTGATACCCAAACTATAAAGCAGGAAAACCCAAAACTATACCTTCATGTGGTATCATAACCACGAAGAAAGGAAAGGTCCATCTAGCCATCCATGATACATTGATTTCACTGAACCATCTACATCATGGGAGGGTCCATCTAGCCATCCATGATACATTGATTTCACTGAACCATCTACATCATGGGAGGGTCCATCTAGCCATCCATGATACATTGATTTCACTGAACCATCTACATCATGGGAAAAGTAAAATACTTTGTTCTCATTTGAATATATCCTGATGTATAGATTCACCTTCTCCAACTCTTTTGTGAATATTGCTATTCATGGAATTTAAAATGCCTTACTTAGAATTATCATATAGCAGTCATCCCATTACTCCACCAAGAAATGCTGTAGAATCACTTACATTTTCCTTATTTCTTTTTTTTCTGATAGAAATTGCATAATTGCTATTTTATATGTTAATTCTAAGTTGAATAACACCATCTCACAAGGCTAAAGAAATGTTTTCCTGGGAAATGGGTATATTTTAAGTAAGAAATAACTTCATAGCCCTGTTGTACTAGAGTTGGGATTTAGAGGCTTCAGAATCAAAAAGTGAATATAGGAATGGTTCCTTTCACTATTGTACTTAGGGAATCTACTAGTGAGACTGCTTTCTTTTCTTATACCTGCTTTTTTGATATAAAAGCAAGGCTTTTACCAAATATTGCAGCAATCATGGCATCATTAAGGAGGAAGTTAAGAATGTTTCCCTGAGAGAACCTTGTGTTTTCTTTGGGGAGGCAGCTAGTATGTTTTTAGTTTTGTGAAGATAAGCTGAATCTTTTTAGGTTGCAACATGTTTGGCTCCTGTCTTCATTTGCAATATAAACATATTTAGGAAAAACATGCACAGACATGAAGTTGACACAGAGCTTATTATACTGTCCTTATTAAGTTAAAGTAACTAGCCGTTCTGGTTGCTTTAGTTTTCTTTTAGTTTACTTTGTTGTAACAACATAGTTGAGAACTATAGAGAGAAAATGTTTCATTCAGCTCATAGTTTAGGAAAGTCCAGGCATGGTCAGGCACACACATTAGGCTAGACTCTATCTGAGACATGTAGTAAATTGCAGACATTGTGGCAGAAGAGAGTATGTGAAGAAAAGCCCTATCAACAAACCAAAAGTCAACAGAGACTGACACCCTACTCTGGCTCACAAGCAAGACTTCCTTGTAGCCACATTTTCCTTTATGCAAAACTGGTAGGAGAAGTGAACTGGGGAGAAAGGTAATCTATGTAAATGAAAGTTGTTTTCTTATGAGACCTAGAAAGGAGGCATGTTTCTGGGTTCAGTTTAACAGGAATAGGAACTATCTGAAATATTCCATAGACAATACATGTGAATTTACTAGTTTTTTTAATTTTTCATTGTATATATTCATTATATGTGGTATATATTGTATACAGCCTTAGAAAGGGAGTTGCTGGAAAAGAATGGCTATTATGCTCTAGGTATTTTGCTTCAGTTTTATGAAAAACCTTTCTAAATATCATGAATGAAACAAGAAAAAAGAGGAAAGAAAAGAAAAAATACTTTCCATTATGCCACATTTACAGTTCCCACCAATTTCAAGGATAAAGCCTTTATTTAATGTATGGACCTTTGTGTGACATTCATCTTATAAGCTACCACACCTTTCCTTTTCTGCAGTTTCAGTGAGGATCTAGTCAAATAAAGAAAAATCCTGAGAGAAAAGGAAAGCAGACGTGCAAAACCAACAACCTTACACTTTGAAGAGTTCTGTGGCAGCCTGTACTTCTCATCCATCGAGCTTCCAGCTTGCTTCACTGACAAGAAACAAGACCTAAGGCTCCCACTAGTTTTTCTCCATTGAGTTATGGTTAAGTTAAGGGCCAGGTAAGTGTGAAGGCCCTTTATGAAGCTGTCACCATCTCCTATATGTCATCAACACATCTTAATGACTAAGATGAGTCTATTCCAATTTAAATTCATGACTGCAGTGCAAGTGACCCTAGCTCTCTCCTACTTCACATGCAGCTTTCCTCCTTCACTAAGAACAGCTGTCCGACCAGACACAGAGGTCTTGTGTCAGTTTCTCTATCATCTATCATATCCTCACTCCCATGATTAATTCTGTATTCTATCACTCAAATCGCCTACCTGATCCAATCAGTACACACACTATAAAAATTCTGTAAACAAGTAAGGCAAGCACCCAAACAGAAAAATTGAAAAAACAAAACAAAAACTCAGAAAATCCCCACAATAGAGAAAAAAAGGAGGTAGGGGAAGAAGAGATTGAATTATGAGCTACTGTTCAGACCCTCAACAGATCAGATATTAAAATTTCAGACAACTCTAACTTACTATTGTAGAGGAAGGATTAGATATATTCCCAGAGCGTAATAGAAATATTCTTTACAACACCCCAATTCTACATCTAGAAAAGATTCAAGAAGGCACAGATCCCCCCTAGGATTCCAAAAGATCTCTTCTGCTAGGTAACCACACCCTTGCATTAGACTAATTCCTTCTCCTGAGCTACAGGCTAATTACTTACTTTAAACAGAATATATGACAGAGTTAATAAAAGACTGGATTGCAAAAAGACCCAAGGGAGAAACCAAGAAGTGTTATTTTATCAAGGTTTTACCCTTGGTGATAGCCACCTGACTAAGATGTGATCTACCCAGCCACATCCAACAAGGTCTTGAGAATAGCCAACAACCAAGTGAGTGAATCTGCAGTAGATGTTTACCCTTGCCCTAAGATGAATGAAGCTCTTTCTGAATACTTAGGAGAAATATGAGCTCCTATACCAGATAGGCCCACCCCCATCACCCTCAGATTCCTCATTGAGAGAGCATGTGAGTTTGCAAATGCCTTATGGGAAGAATTTCAGAGTAATTTGTAAAATGAAACATAATTAAAATAGTCTCCAATAATCTAATTATAGCCCACAGTGAGTTGCAGAGGAGGAGTGATGAGCAAAGGGGTTATGACTACGCTAGTGAAACCCACAGAAACAGCTGACCTGAACAAGAGGGAGCTCTTGATCCCCAAACTGATCACTGGGAAACTAGCATGAAACTGATCCTGACCCCATAAATGTGGGTGACAGTGAGGAGGACTCGGAAATAAATGGGGCCTCTTGTAGTAGATCAGTACTAATCCCTAGTGTAGGAATGGACTTTGGGATCCCATTTCACATATAGGGATACTCACTCAGCCTAGACACAAGGGGGAGGGCCTAAGCCTTATCCCAAAGGCTATGACAGACTCTGAAGGCCCCCATGGAAGCCCTCACCCTCCCTTGGGAGCAGAAATGGTATTGGATAGGTAGGGTGTTATTGAGGGACAGGGAAGGAGGGGGGGAGAGAGGGAATGGGAATTGACATGTAAAACAATCTTGTTTCTAATTTAAATTAAAAAATTTGTAAAACCCTTAGTGAAATTCAAATTCCTATTTTTAATTTTTTAATGAATGTGGGCTATGATTACCTATACTCACCCATTTACTCATCATCTCAATTTAATTGAAAGCTTCATCTACCAGATCCTGTCCTGAATACAAAAATCACAAAAAGCACCCGAAGCCTATGATCTTACAGAGTTTCACAAGCAAATAATAAACAACATTAAAAGCTATCCCAGGGCATTGGTGGCGCACGCCTTTAATCCCAGCACTCAGGAGGCAAAGGCAGGGGGATCTCTGTGGGGTCGAGGCCAGCGGGGGCCACAGAGCGAGGTCCCGGATAGGCTCCAAAACAATACAGAGAAACCCTGTCTCAAAAAAAAAAGAAAAAAAAAGCTATCCTAAAGGTAAGATAATGAAAAGAACTACTGAAAAAACAGGCTAAGGAAGTAAGAGAGAGACAAAGCTATGCCAAACCAGAGGTAGAAGGAGTTTTCTCTTTTTGTTTTTGTTTTGTTTTGTTTTGTTTTTTTGAGACAGAGTTTCTCTGTGTAGTCCTGGCTTTCCTGGAACTCGGAGATCAGCTTGTCTCTGCCTCCTGAGTGCTAAGATTAAATGTGTGGGCCATCACTGCCTGGAGAGGTTGCAGTTTATAACAGGTCTACTCTGAAAACATGACACGTAAGCAAAATCAAGAAGTTATGAGGGAGTGATTCATATACAATCAAAAGTACATCCCATGCACAAGAAAGAACTAAAAGCATTTAGATGCAGGAGGGAAGTGCCACTGCAGCATCTAGAGGCACTTTTCCTATATAAGAGTTTGGACTTCAGAGACAAATGAGTTTCCGGCTTTACAAGATGGGAGTGAAATCATGACAGCTTTAAGATAACCTTGATTGCTGAACGGAAAAATGTATCATGGTTAGTGAAGGGGTCAGGCCGAGTGGTGATAAACAGAAAAGCAATGAGACTAATGAGAAAGTTTTAATATCAACACCAATGAAGTATGGTAGGACAGAGACCAAAGTGGGAAGGGCCGGTCACACTGGCCAGCTTCTGACAAAAGACTATTCACTGGATTCAACTGATGTCTAAGAGGTATATATATGAATGCCTACTAGAATTAAATCATTAAATTGGAAGAATTTATGCCTTTAAAATTCTACTTTTCAAATACTTGGTATCCACACTGCCCAGTATCCTCATCCACTGCTAGTGTGTTACTTTCAGGAACTAAATGATAGATCTTGATGACTTGTTAGTTTTTTTAAATGAACTTTATTTCTTTAGTTATGCCATATTTAAGTAACAAAGCATTTCCATGACAAGTTTTTTTTTTTGAGACAATTCTGCATTATGGTATCTGAGATAGTTAGTTATTGTTCCATTCTATGGGGGTAATTCTGCCAACAGGAGAAAGGTTCCATTCTACCCCCATCTGTGTTATGTAAAACAAATATCCAACAAAACAGAAAGAGCATCCACCAATTAGCACTATATTACCATATTTGTCATGAAAATCTGAGGGTTTTGTGTGGCTCTGTCTTGCCACAACTTGCCGAATGCTTTTAATCTTGAGATGATTTAGTGCGTATCTGGCCAAGGGAAACATCACAACATGTGATTCAATTACTATTGATTGCAGCAATGGGTCTAGTTCCAGAGACCTAGAAGACAAAACGTAATATGACAATGACATTTGATCTGCATTCAGTTTCTCCTTCATTTCAATGTTTCATCTGGGTTCCTAGATACCCTAGAACTAACATCAAGGATAATGAGGGTTCCAAATTTCCAAAATCTTCTACGTTTTTCCAGTTTGTTTTTTGAGACAAAGGTTCTCACTGTACCCCCTCATGGTTTAATCTATACTGTCTTGCTGAGTGAGTTAAACATGATCACCACAACTGGTGTTAGCTTAAAAAAAAGTTAATTTTTGTATTGAAATAATGTGACAAATTTAAATACTCTTTGTTGGATGAACTATAACGATATTTTGTTTGTAATCTAACAAATAAAGCTTGCCTGAAGATCAAAATGCAGACATAAGCCACTAGTTAGCCACACATACAGTAAGCTACTAGTTAGCTACACACCTAAGCCGCTATTTAGCTATAGAGCACAGGCAGTGGTAGCCACACCTTTAATCAAAGCACTAGGTAGGTAGAGATAGGATTGATATGGCTGGGAAGAGAGAGGAATATAAGGTGGGAGGAGACAGGAATTCATTGCAGTCTCAGGGAGTTTGAGGAGCAGTGCAGTTTGGAGATACCACCAGAGGACAAGATTGCCCCTTTGGTCTGAGCTTTGGTAGAGCTGAGAACTATCTAATGGCTGTCCACTTTGCTTCTCTGGTCTTCAGTTTCAACCACAATATTGTCTCTGTGTGCTACATGAACAGTCTAATTTAAGTATATGGTTTGGTTTTATTGCTGCATTAATCTTTAAACATAAAGAGAACTAGTCTGCTCTTATGGTGACACCTAAGGGATTTTACACAGTAAAGTATCTTAAGATGATATATATATCATGGAATGCCCAATTCTACTTTATATTGATTGCACATATAATTGAGAAACATTCTTGTGCACAGGAAGAAATAATTGATCATCAAATAAAATCTAGGGCAAAACCAGATTTAATAGGTCTGGTGATGTAGCTCATTGTAGTTCACCTAATGTCCCTTGCCTAGCACATGTAAGGCATTATGTGTGATTGAGAACAACATGCATAGACACACAGACACAGGCACACACAGAGAGACATACACACACACACACACACACACACACACACACACATGCACATACAGACACACATGTACATACAGAGACACACACACAGGATAACTATATAGTCAAAACCACAGATGAAGACATTAAGCATTAGAGAAGTACTTATAGCAATGGTTCTTAAAGAGGTAATAAGGATTTGAAGTACTAATAGAAAAAATAATTAAGGAATGTTAGCTCACTATGGAAATAATGACAAATTCATTTAATCAACTGTTGCAACTAAATGGAAAATGACAATCTTTTAGCTTCTAGGTTAAGATTTTTAGCTAAAATGCCTTTCCCACTCCTTTTGGCTGTCTCTCTGAGGCCAAATAGACAGATCCCTATCTCTGCTGTCTCTCCCACTTGTCTCTTTTTTCTCTGTCTCTCTTTTTCTTTTCTCCCCCTTACTCTCTTCCCCCACTCCCTTCCAAGTAAAACTTCCTTTCCATGTAAAACAAACAAACAAACAAACAAACAAACAAACAAACAGCCTGTTCCAGTTCAAATTCAGATGCCCACACTAGCTTATATCTGACCCTGTGGAATCCGAGTCTGAGTGACACAGGGACAGAACACTGAAAGAAAAGATTATATATAACTGAGGTGCTCCTTGATTATGTGGGCTTAGATATTTGATTGTAAGGGAGCAAGATCCTGAAAGAATCTCAGGGGGAATGTATCATCAGGATAGTCCAATACTACCAACACATGGCTGCCTTGTTTGATATAATGATTTCTCTTTAAGGGTAGGAAATGTGATCTTGTTTCTTAAATGTCACAGATACCACTCTGAAAGACATCAGAGTTGCTTCATGTAATATGATTAAGTTATATCAGGTCTTCCCAATAAAAAATTCTGATACTTCACTTCAATGATTATCTGCCTGTTGTGGGGTTATCTCATACATTTTAATATTTGTTGCAGCATCCCTGCCTTTAGCCACTAGATATCAGCAGTATCATCTTCCAGCAATGATGGCATGAAGATCTCTAGACATTGCCCAATGTACAAAATCATTCCTGGTTATTCTCTGCTGTTGAATATGGAAGAAAATGGGTTCTTTGAACTTCTGGTTTGTTTCTGCAGTGTTAGGGATTGAGCATAGGACTCTGCATACTAAGCACGCCCCCAGTCAATGTGCAACATCTACATTTCCAGTCACCCTTTTCATGTCTATGGCCAAAAGTCACAAATGCAGCTCGAGTTCTAAGGAAAAGCATTCTTCCATGTCCCACCTTGGGATACGAACTCACTAGGAGATGATCCTATCCTATGCAGTAGAACGTCAGCAACTCACTTAAATCTATCCAACTTCTGTTTTCTCTAAACAAAATAGATAAAAAATAATACTGAATGCATTTAGTTTTTTTCCTCAAACTTTTCAGACCCCAAGAGTCTTTGAAATCTTTGCTTTAAAATGGAAATTCCTATGTCCCATATCAAATGTAAGCGAGTACCAGGGGAACTGCCTAGGAATCTGCCTTTCTGACGTAAGTTCTTTAGAGCACTGTACCACTCGATATGCTTACGGAACACAAAGTAAGATCAGCTATAGCGTGCATCCAGCTGTAGATGCTCTTGGACTTTCCAAGGAGAGAATCATTTTAAGAAGAGTACTGTAGTAACTGAGCCCATCACTTTGGTGAACTAGAAAGCATTATCTAAGAGCCCTGAGTTATACAGACATCAAGGCATTAAAGTAGCCAACACAAACAGCAGCATTTAAGGTCATTAAAAGTACTACTGATGCTGATGTTCTGCTGTATAACAAATGGCATATTTTCAAAGCTACGTTCTTGGACAACATTATTGAACTGTAGCACCTTTGTTTCCCCCTGCCTTATTTCTAGTTGTCTTTTTTTTCAGTTGTCTTTTTTTCAGCTTTAGAATATCAATGCAAAATAAGAAACAATAAAAAAGTGATCTCTTGAAATGAAAATGCACAAAACCTGTGGTGTCTTTAGTTCATTTTATATTGTGTGTGGGAGGATCAAGTGTACACTGTGTAAAGTGTCTCCCATCATTACTACTTAAGCTTTCGGGCTTTTCATTTAAAAAAAATATGAGCACCCTGCAAGAAGGAAAAGTAATGGTGCAAATGTTGAACAATGGCTATATTTTAGAATTAATGACATATCCTGACTCACTGAATTGATGCTTTTGCTTAAGGCTAAATTTTATGTCACTTTATTAAGGCTAAAACGTTACATAAATGAATGCTACCTGAATAAAGAAAAAGGCAGGTTATCTCACTGAATTGACATTCCTAGAAGAAGGGACAACAGAGAAGAGAACACAAAGAACTTCTGACTTGATGTTCTCTAAGGCAAATGTTGCCTGATGATAATGGGTGTAAGATATACACACTCTTGCATGCTTCCCCCCACCACTTTTGATGCTGAATGTCAATCAGGTCCAGTACTTCCTCAAAAAAGGACATTATTTGTTGTCTGGTAAAATGTTTAAAAGATTCAAAATGGGTGATCCTGTTGTAAGTACTTGAAGCCATTCATGGAGAATAAAATCTCCAGTAAGAAATAGCAAAAGCCATGAATATGCAGACAAAGGTCTCAAATGTGGTTTTGTGTTTCTTCATCCAGTCACCAGCAAAGCAAAGCCACAGTTCTTTGAACACACTTGAAAATTAGTCATCTCAGGATCCACTTCATACCAAGGACACTCTCAGAACTTGAGTAACTAGATGGAATGCAGTGGTAATTAAACTAACTTCTAACTACATTCTAGTTACTGGAATACATAATCTAACTCTAGTTTTACTCATTTGACACTGATTAGAATAGCAGGGAAGGAGGGGAGGGAGAGGTAGCTGGGATTGACATGTAAAACAATCTTGCTTCTAATTTAAATAAAAATGGAAAAAAATAATAAAAAAATCAGAAAGCATCCTTCTTTCAGTACTTTTCCATAGCATATATTTATTTCACTTGTTCTGTTAGCTATGGGTAAGAGTTACTTGAAAATAGGACTACAGGGTCATCTACATTTGGGGAAAAGTTCTGTGGTACTTAATATACGGCAATGATTCCTTAATAAGGATGGCATGTGGCACTTTTTAAACTAAGCTGAGGATGCCATGCTTTTTTTTTTTTTGCCTGGAGTGAATCTATATTAAGATTTTTCTAGAATAGCTTATGGGAACACCAAAATATGGCTTTATGTTCCCAATCCTATTACATCACTTTATCCTTACGGGTCCCATTAGGCATTTCATAAACCACATAGTTTAACACAAAACTCAAGGGATATAGGTGGCATGGTGAGTCAACTGTCTTAACATCTATAGAAGATAATATGTGTGGTCTTCATTATATGATTGAGATTCCTGAAGATTTTGTGTAGGTGTTTTTCTTGCCTCCATCCCTACTTTTAAAAAATAAAGATCCTGTGAATAGACAGAAAGCATGACACTGTAGAGGTCAGTGAAATTATATTAATAAGCTCATTGCAATGAAATTTAGATGTGATTAACGCCTTTACACCAGTGATATACTTAGCTAAGAGTGAGCATTAAGACATTTAACTATTAGAAAACAAAAACATTTTAATTTTAAAAAAGCACCTATTAATCTACATTTGGAATAATAATTATTTTTAATTGCTTACTAGAGCTCATGACAGTAAGGGTGCAAACAAAAAATCAATTTTAATGAAATGTCAAAATCAGATTATGATTATTACTGTTTTCTAAAATTTCCAGAATTCTTTTCAGCTTACAGTATCTTCACTCTCCCAAATCTGCTTAAAACTTACCTTAAATTTTATCTCTTTGTAACCCTCTTGTTAATGATATCCCCTGACATTTGCAGAGCAATGTCATTTGATGAAACAGTACTTCCTAAGCCTGAAGCAGCAATGAA